TGGGGTTATGGCTCAGTGGTAGAGCACTCGCCTAGCATGTGTGAGGCACTGGGTTCAATTCTCAGAACCACATATAAATAAATAAGGAAAATAAATGTCTATCAACAACTAATAAAAAGAAATACCAGCTGCATTCTTTTGTGGGGGGGTGCTGGGGATTGAACCCCAGGGTCAGTTTGCCACTGAGCCACATCCCCAGCACTTTTTATATTTTATTTTGAGATGTTCTCACTAAGTTGCTTAGGGTCTCACTAAGTTGAGGAGGCTGACCTCAAACTTGAGATCCGCCTTCCCCAACTTCCCAAGTTGCTGGGATTATAGGCATGCACCACCATGCCTGGCACCAGAGACATTCTTTACAGAAATAGAAAAAAAACACAGTCCTAAAATTAATTTAGAAGAATAAAAGACCCAGAATAACTAAAGCAATGTAAGCAAGAAAAAAAAAAAAAAAAAGCAATACTGGAATCATCATAATGCCTTCAAATTATATTACAGAGCTAGGGCTGAGGTTGTGACTCAGTAGTAGAGCACTTATCTTGCATGTATGAGGCACTGGGTGTGATCCTCAGCACCACATATAAGTAAATAAATAAAATAAATGTATTGTGTCCTTCTACAACTTAAAAAAAATAAAATAGAAAACTGACACAGACCAATGGAACATAATAGAAGATAGAAACCAACCCACACAGCAACAGTCATCTGGTCCTTGACAAAAGCACCAAAAACATGTCAGAGAAAAGAGCCTTTTAAACAAATGGTGCTGGGAAAAGAGGTCATCCACATGTAGAAGAATGAGCCTAGATTCCTCTCTCTTCTCCTGCACAAAAATCAACTCAAAGTAAATCAAAGACCTTGGAATTTGACTAAGAACTATGGAAGTTCTAGAAGAAAAATGTAGGGTCAACACTCCAGCATATAGGCACAGGCAGTGACTTCCCCAATAGAATTCCTAATGCATAAGAAATAATGGGGTGGCATCAAGTTAAAAGGCTTCTGCACAACAAAGAAAGCAAGTGTGTGAAGAGCGAACCTAGAGAGTGAGAAGATCTTTGCCAGCTGCTCTTCTGACAGAATTAATATCCAGAATATATAAAGAACTCAAAAGACTTAACACCAAAGGGGGGGGAAAAAAAACACCAGATAACATAATCAGTAAATGGGCAAATGAACTAACCAGACACTTCTCAAAAGAAGAAATGCAAACGAAAAACAAATATATGTATGTGTGAGGCACTGGGTTTGATCCTTAGTACCAGATAAAAAATAAATAAATAAAGGTATTGTGTCCATCTACGACTAAAAATATTTTTTTTAAAAACTACAGTTTCTTCCCAATTTAGTTAGAATGGCAACCACGGGGAAAGTAAACAATAATAAATGCTGGAGGATGTGGGGAAGAGGAACACTTTCACACTGTTTGTGCTATTGTAAATTAGTATTGAACTCCTATGGAAATCAGCACAGAGGTTCCCCAAAAGACCCAGCTCGACACTCCTTGGTATTATCCTAAAGAATTAAAATCAGCATGCGACAGTGATATGTGCACATCCTGTTTATAGCAGCCAATTCACAGTAGCCAAACTGTGGAACCAGCCCAGGTCCCTTAACAAATAGAGATAATATGGCATGTACACAGTGGAGTTTTATTCAGCCATAAAGGAAAATGAAATTATGTCATTTGCTGGAAAATGGATGGAACTTGAGAGCATTATGCTAAGTAAAAGGAAGCCAAACTCAAAACTCAGGAGTTTATGTTTTCTATCATGTGGAAGTAAGGAAAAAGAAAAAGGAAAAAAAAAAGTAGGGTGGGCATCTCATGAAAATAGAAGTGAGACTAGTAGATAGAGGAAAAGGACTGAGGAGAAGGAAGGGGGAAAGCTGGAGAACACTGTCAATCAAATGACATGGCCATGCTATGTGCACAGACGAGTGTGGAACAATCCCACTATGATGTATAATTATAATGCACCAATAAAAATTGGGAAAAACTGGGCTGGGATTGTGACTCAGCGGTAGAGCACTCACCTAGCATGTGCAAGGCCCTGGATTCAATCCTCAGCACCACATAAAAATAAATAAAATAAAGATATTGTGTCCAACTACAACTAAAAATAGATAAAAATATGGAAAAACCTATAAGATAGTATTAAAAAATAAAGTTTTTTTTTTTGTACTAAACCTTATTGGAATTTCTTCCTTTGCGGGGCAGGAGGTACTGGGGATTGGACCCAGAGGCACTTTACCGATGGGGCCCCCTCTTTCCCTGATTCTGTGTCACCCAGGCATTTGAGTCATCCTGTTGGGCATTAAGAGGAAAGGTCAGCTTGCTCTCTGCTTCCTGGCTGCCATGCGCTGGCAGCTTCCTCCACCATACCCTCTGCCATGATGTTCCACCTCACCGTGGCAGAGGGTATGGTGTTCTAGGGCAAGGGGGCCTACCCACCACGGACCAAACCTCTGAAATTGTAAAGCCTCCAAATCCATCCCAGATGGTTTGAAACAGCCTTTCAGAAGCGGACCTGCTCAGGAGAAGCCAGCTCATCCTTTGGTTGATCACCTTTTGATGTCACAAGCTCAAAATCGCCTATGCAGAAGATGACAACTCGTAGGGAAAAAAATCCAGCTTGTGAAGACATGTGGGGCTCTTGGCACCTGTACAAAGGAACCCTGAAAACTCATCACTGTCCATTCAGCAGGCTGTTCTCTCCTCTTCCTTCCTGTGGGTTTCCCTGCTACCAACCACACTGGGATTTGAGCTTGGCTCCTCTTCTCTTTGCCAGGGACCTAGCAGTAAAGTGTCTCCTTTTTGGAAAAATAAAGAGGGGGCATTCAGCCCCTGTGTGTGAAGATAGCCGTCTTCCCTGGCCTCTGTTGCTGGTCCTCCAGAGTTGTTCATCTACATTCCTCACAGAGGAGTAAGAAAAGTCTTGGGACCCAGAAGGAAACAATACCTTGTCTTGCAAATCAAACAGCCCCACTTTGGACACTTTTTTTTTGTACCAGGGATTGAGCCCAGGGGCACTCTACCATTGAACCACATCCCCAGCCCTTTAGAGACAGGGCCTCACTAAGTTGCTGAGGCTGACTTTGAACTTGTGATCCTCAGCCTCAGCCTCCCAAGCTGCTGGGATTACAGGGGTGCACCGTGGTGCCCTGCTCCACTTTGGACTCTTGATAAGAGTGCAAGAGCAGCACCTACCTCAGCAGCATGCATGGGCACAGGGCTGCAGAAGCCAAAACCTAAGTGCAATCTGCGTGATAGGGAAGGTGCTATTCCAGCAGACCTGGAGAGTGTCTGAGGACCAAGAGCCATTGGTGTGTGGTGGCCACTGGGATCAGTGCTGGCTTTGAAGCTGATATGAGAGGACATGAATGTGATGGTAACAGAGGCTGTTAGGATGAAGCTGGATGCAGAGGTTTCTGTGGTGACGCTCCTAGGGTCTCACAGGCTTTGCACACTAATAGGCGTTTATATCCTGCAGTCCGTCTTTTATTTTCTAAGTATAAATGTTAGATAAATAAATTCTGTTTGTAAATAACTTGTAAATAACTTGTAACTTTGAAAAGATTCATAATTTCAAAATAAACTTTTAACTTTGTTAACAGATGTAGGCTTCTGTTTTCTTTTTGTGTCAGAATAGTGAAAGCTGTCTTGCTAACCCACCTTGGGCCACAGACTTGACAGTGACACCCACTGGCAGGCAGGATGATGAGAGCCAGAAGTGTTGGCAGGCAGAGGAGGGCCATGTTACAGTGATCTTCAGGTCATTGTGGCAGGGTCCCATGCCACCCCATGCCCAGTTGCTGTGCATGTGAGGCATGTGGCAGCCTCATGGGTAACCCTGGCTATTATTCAGCAAATGGGAAGCTGGGCACAGTGCTACATGCCTGTAATCCCAGCTTCTTGGGACACTAAGGCAGGAGGATCTTGAGTTCAAAGCCAGCCTTAGGCAAGACACTAAGCAACTCCATGAGACCCTGTCTCCAAATATAATATAAAATAAGGCTGGGGATGTGGCTCAGTGGTTGAGTGCCCTGAGTTCAGTCCCTGGTACACACACACACACACACAAAAAAAAAAAAGGACAATGCAAAGGGACAGGTGAGTGGCAGCAGAGGGCAAGGTCAAGCAAAGCCAGCTGCCTAGACTTGCTGAGGCTGAGCTCTGTGAGGCTTCCAGGGTGTGTTTGCTCTTCCCTCAGGAGCGGGCTGTGCACTGGAACTGGGTTTATGCTGAGTTGTTAATTTTCTCAGGATGGAGAGGCATCCCTGAAGGTCCGTTTCAGGAGGTGTTGGTCTCATGGAGCCAAGGAGCCAGCAAGGGATATGTTGAATGCAGTGGGTGGGACTGGTGGAGACGAGGGTGCATAGAACAAGGAAGGTGAATCGGTCGGGCAAGCCTGGAGAGTTGGACCCCAGAGCTGGAGGATGCTTGTGACTGTGAGTGCAACCTGCACAGGTCTGATAAGAGCAGTGACTGGGGAGTACCTATGCCCTTATCCTGAGTCCCAGTACTTACATGTGCTTATGTTAAGGATGGACTTATTGGACTTTTGCTATAGTGCAGCATTGTTAGTCTGCTTGGTAAAATACCTGACAGAAATCAACTTAATGGAAGAAAAATATTATTTTGACTCATGGTTTTGGAGGTTTCTGTCTGTGGTTGGCTGGCTCCATTACTTTTAGGCCTGTGGTGAAAAGAGCTTTGTGGTGGGGAATGTGTGGTGGAGCAGAGCTCCTCACCCCTTGGCAGCCAGGAAAGCAGAGAAGGATGGGAAGAGAAGAAGGGAATAGGGATAAAAGACACCCTTCAAAGACACCATCTCAGTGTCCTACTTCCAAGTAGGCACCACCTCCTAGTAACTCTGCAGGCTGGTCACCAAGCCTTTAGCACAGAACCTTTGGGAGACTTTTCTGATCCAAACTGTTAACAGTGGCAAGGGCAGATTCACAGAGTGGGGAGGAGTGAGTGACGCTCTTGTGCTTGCCTACAGCTCTGTGGCCGTCACGATGTTCTGGAAGTTTGACTTGAATACCACGTCCCATGTCGACAAGCTGCTGGACAGGGAGCAGGTGACGCTGCAGGAGCTGATGGATGAAGACGACATCCTGCAGGAATGTAAGGCTCAGAACAGGAAGCTTCTGGACTTCCTGTGCAGGCCGCAGTGTATGGAGGAGCTGGTGAGCCTCATCACGCAGGACCCACCTCTGGACATGGAAGAGAAGGTCCGCTTCAAGTATGTACTGAGGCTGACAGGTCCTACACTGAGCAGTACTGGGGAGGCCGTGGGCAGTGTCTGAGGACAGCCAGAACCAGAGGTTTTTGATGGAGATGCAGGATGGTCACCAAGCCTTTAGCACAGAACCTTTGGGGGTCTTTTCCCCAAAGGAAAACTGAATCCCATCTGAGAAGTGAGAAGGCCTCTGTTGAGTTTGAGTTTGGAATCTCTAGTGTTTTCTCATCCTGAGTTTAAGTTGGTACCCGTTAAGTAAGTTTATATTAAGTTGGTACATGTTGGAGCACTTTGATTCACAGTATGTTAGGGGAGGGGGAAGAATGATTCTACGACAGAGAGGCAGATGGATTGCAGTGTGAGCCCACGCCACCAGCAGCGGGCCAAAGGCAGGGCTGCAGCAACATGTGGTCTGACTCCTGAACTCTAGAAAGGGGATCTTCAACTTGGAGGAAATACATTGTTATCATTCGTGGTATTATCAATTCCCAAAGTTTTTCTTTAAATGTGCCATTCAGTATTTGGCCACGATGTTAGGAAATGACAGAGAAGATAGAGGCAATGTGGCAAGATGGTTAAGCTTTGAGTAAAGACTTATGCACTGAGAGAATACCCCAGGCAGCAGGAGGGCTTCCTCACCACAGGCCCAGACTATAGGCTGTACGCATACAGCTCCATGAAGAGCCCATGTGGCCTGCGTTGTCCCCAGCGTCCCCCAAGATTGGATGAGTGACCATAGGCACTAGGTCCAGGCTTATGAGGAAGGGTGAAATACATGCATGGTAAAGCTTTAGAACAGGACCAGCAAACCACAGCTCTGCTTTTGTGTGGCCTGTGAACCAAGAAGGCTTTTACATTATTACATGAGTGAAAAAAATAAATAAAGGTGAACACACCAGTAGAGTCTTGCTGGACACGCCATGCTTGTCCATACACAACGCAGAGTTCAGTTTCAATAGAGGCTGTCAGAAATATTTGCCATCTGGCCCTTCACAGTGGTCTACTGATCTCTGGTCTCAGGAGGAAAATAGGGCAGGATGGGTGACAGGGTGGCCTGGTGGGCTGTCAGTACGGCATTCACCATGGTCAGACAGGTCCTCACCCACAAGGGGAGCCCCATGGTATTCTAGAAAGATCTGGGGCTTGCTTGTAGAGGGGCGGGGGGCTTGGGGATAGCATGATCATAGCTGGAGGCCACTGTGGTCGCAGCATCACCACTCATAGGCCCTTTAGCCCTCTTACCCCCAAATGTCTTTCAGTTTGTGGCACATTGGAACAAAGTGACAGTTCATGAGAAGTATGACCTGGATCTTGTGAGTCAGGAAGGGGATCCAGGGTGGCGTCCGTGAGGCGGGAGAGCTGCAGTCAGTTGAGAGAAATGAGTAATGAATGCTAAACAGCAAGGAGAAAACTTGAGGCTCTGGGTGAAGCAGTCGTAGGTGGAACCAGTGGTGAGCAGCACCCAGGCACCCACCATGTGGGCGCCAGGACTCTCCTTTCCCGTCTTGTGTTAGGCATTCCATGGACCTTTCAGTCTGTAAATATGTGGATCTTAGCTCAGAGAAATTCTTAATATTCTTTCTTTTTTTTTGGTATAAGGGATTGAACCCAGGGGTGCTTAACCACTGAGCCACGTCCCAGCCCTGCTTTTCTTTCAAGACAAGGCATTGCTAAATTGCTTAGGGCCTTGCTAAGTTGCTGAGGCTGGCTCTGAACTCATGATCCTCCTGCCTCAGCCTCCTGAGCCACTGGGATTACAGGCATATGCCACTGTAACCGGCCTAAATTTCTTGTATTATTTCTTGGACAATCTTCTCTCCTCCAGTTTTTCTTCCGACTTCTTGTAACATCTACTTGAACATTAGATCACCTGAATTAATACTTTCTCTTACCTTTTTTTTTTTTTCAGTTGTTGATGGACCTTTATTTATTTATTTAAATATGGTGCCTCACACATGCTAGGCAAGCACTCAACCAGCGCCTTTCTCTTACTTTTGTTCTTAATGTTTTATCTTTGCCTTTTTATATGAGAGGTTTGACTTTTAAGTTACCATCTTTTTATTGACTTTTGAAATTTCTACCATCATATTTTTAATTTCTTTTCTTTTTTTCTTTCTTTCTTTTTTTCTTTTCTTTTCTTTTCTTTTCTTTTTTTTTTTT